CCAGGTCGAGGCTGTGGTGGCCGGGAGCGGCCACTGCACTCCAGTCTGGGCGACAGAGTGACTCCAACTCAAAAAAAAAACAAAACAACACAGAAATAGAGCTAAGAGTTTAAGGCTTTCCACTTTGTTGAAGCCTCAGATACTTTTTCTTTCTTACAAGAGTATTTATTCTGACAGAAATTTGGTTTGTAAATAGAGCATTATGCATAAAGTGTAAGATAAGTATAGGAGAAGTGTAGTCACGTGGATTCTAACTCTTGCAATTTCCATTAAGTTTTACTTTAAGCTAAGACAGCTTCACCAACAGATGCAGATCTGACAGATTTGGCTGCATGTCTAGCTCTCTTCAACCATATGAGTGATTTATAGCAAGAACATGTTTAAGTCTCCAAGAATTCATATGCCTTTTTCAATCTGTTGCCAACACTGGTCATTCCTGGGAGGCTGATTTCCACATAAAGTGATGCAGTCTGCCCAGGATTTCTAGTTCTTGAAAGGTGAGGGAGGGAGCAGTGAATTATTGTAAGGCAGTGAAATTGACATCTACAAGGCATTTTGGGGAATGGTAAAGTAACCTGGTTAATCCTAGGACCTTGACTCCCTCCTGACACGTGTGAGTACTGCTTGTGAGGTTATCATTTGTTCTTGCATCACACACTGTCCTCCTTAGAATCCTCAGGTGGGATCACCTGTGCCAAACCAGATCTGCACCAAAGGTTTTTTCTTCTTCATGTAACAGTGTACTCCTTGGATGGGATTCTGGTGTTTGGTTTGCTCTTTGTTTGCACCTGTGCCTATTTCAAGAAGGTACCTCGTCTCAAAACCTGGCTGCTATCAGAGAAGAAGGGCGTTTGGGGTGTGTTTTACAAAGGTAAGACCATATCTGGACAGGGAGAGGAGATTGCTATCTCTGGACAGTGTGGAGCTGCAGGGTGGGGGTGAAATGGACTGGGATTGTATTTGGTTTCAATTTTAGAAAAAAATCCCTGAAATTGGGTCTGAGAGCCTATGAGATAATTATTTTCCAAAGTTGAGAGAAAAGGTTAATGTTAAAATTTGATGTAATTTAAAAATATAATTGTTTATTTAAGTATCCAGATGATTTTAGTATTATCAGTGGAGTAAAAATATATAAATCAAACAATTTTAGGCTCTGCTGGAATGCTTCCTTTTAGTGGGAGAAGTATTTTCCCACAGAAAATTTTTCTGATTTTTCTGAAAAGAATACATTGAAGTTTCTGTTAAGGTTTGATTTTATTAACTCAAATGCCTTTTTACTTTTTATTTTGAGCACATTCATCTGGAATCCTATCTACCTAAATCTTTTTTCAAAAAAGGGTAAAATATAAGCAAATGGTATATTTACCTAGACTCTAGAGCATAAGGGTAGCATTTAAAAACATTCTGGGTGGTGTGGTGGCTCATCCCTATAGTCCCAATGCTTTCAGAGGCTGAGACAGGAGGGTCGCTTGAGGTTAGGGATTTGAGACCAAGCCTGGGCAGTATAGGGAAAACTCAATCCATATGAAAAAATAAAAAATAGCCAGGCTTTTTTTTATGCCTGAGTAGCCCATAGTCCCAGCTACTCAGGAGGCTGAAATGGTGGATTACCTGAACCCATGAGTTTGAAGCTTCAGTGAGTTATGATTGTGCCACTGCGCTCCAGCCTGGGTGACAGAGCGGAACCCTGTCTCTTTAGGAAAAAAAATCCCCAGGTCCCTGAGACCCTCACTACGTCTGTTCATCTGTGACTAGAGCTATCAGGATACCACCTTGAAGGTGAGGACTTCTGGGAAGGGCAACGTGTGACCTCTTCTCTCCTTTGACTTTCACTTGCTAGCTGCAGTGATCGGAACCAGGCTGCATGCTGCTGTGGCAATTGCCTGTGTTGTAATGGCCTTTTACATCCTGTTTATAAAATGAATTCCAAAGTATCCAACTTATCGACTGCCAGCCCAGGGGACGGAGATGAAGGACCTGCTGGAGGCCTGGACTCAGCGTAAGAGAGTCCAGCTAAATTCACCAGAGTCCCCAGGTGACACCACAGCATCTGCCCCCACCACGCAAGCGGAAAACTCCTCATGGTTGCAAATACTATTTATGCTTCAGGGGACCGCAGGTAGCCAGCTTCCTTGATCTGTGTGTAAATCAGTCCTCGGCAGAGTGCACATAACGTGCAGGTAAATCACATCCCTTGATGACAAGGTCACATACCTCCTGCTTAGACACCTGCCACCCTGTTTTGTTCTTCAGCCCCTCACCAGGATCTCTTCAAACTGAGGTTCATGATGGAAGGAAACAGGCGGCCTGCAGACTTCCTGGGAGGAGAATCTTCAAGACTTTTGTCGCTGTTGGGTTTGGATCTGGCAAACTGGGGCGGGAGTGCTGGGTGGGAAACAGGAGTTACACAATGCCAAGAAATCATTTGGCTTTAGAAGTGGATCTTTCCTGTACCCATATGGGAACATGAAAGAGAGGCATGGCGCTCCCTGCAGAAAGAGAGCCCACAGAGCCGCCATGCTGTGTGTGGGCAGCTCAAGTTCTGTCTAGAGAATCTGGACCCGTGTAAAACTTGGGAATTGCCTGTCGGTGGTGAGACCAGGCAGCAGTGGCTTAGACAAGAAAAATGTTCTCTTCACCAGTATCCCCAAAAGGAGGCTTCACTTGATCAAATGACATATGAATAATGAATCAACTGTTGCTATTTTCAAAAGCCTTTTTATATTTTCTAAATTACTTAGTGCTAAATACTGTTACTCAGTTTTAAATGCCACCACTAGGGAAAAAAGAAACTGTTGAAGAAATGATTGCTTAATATATTTGCAGTTAAGGTAGAAGAGATAAGTAAATCTAGTATATTGACTCATATACTAGTAAATTCATCTAGTATAAGAATTGGTTTTGATATTAGATGGAAGCTTTGTCATGTTAGGAAAGATACAAACATTCTTTCATCTTTTTTTTTTTTTTTTTTTTTTTTTTAAGAGACAAGGTCTCTCCAAGTTGCCCAGGCTGAACCCCTGGGCTCAGGCAGTCCTCTAGCCTCCGCCTCCCAAAGTGTTAGGATCACAGGCGTGAACCACTACACCTAGCGATACAAATATTTTTTGTTTATGTCTGGACTATGGCAGTCTTTAGTTGATTACTTTTTATCTTGGCCACGTTTTAATTTTCTTTCTATTGCAGTATTCTTGTGTTGTTTCTGGAAAGTCTATTCACCATACAAACATGAGAAATTCAAATGAAAGAAGTTGCTGATACTCATCAGCATATTTGGGCAGCTCATAAAATCCATGAATAAAACGAGGTGTTTCCTGAAGTAAGGCAGAGCTTTGCAACAGGGATTTAAGGGCTTTGCTATAGAGTATAATACACCTGAGCAGATCATCTGCAATCACTCAGTATTTGAAGGGAAGACTTCTCCTTTCCCTCCTCCTTCTACACAAAAGGATCCGCTGTTGGATTTTTGAAGGCTAGAACTTCTCTATTAAAAAAAAAAGTGAGCCAGGCTGGGTGGCTCAGCCTATAATCCCGAGCTTTGGGAGGCTGAGGTGAGTGGATTGCCTGAGCCTGCGGGTTCAAGACCCGCCTGGGCAACTTGGCGAGACCTTATTTCTACAATAAATAAAAAAAATTAGCCGGGCGTGGTAGCGTGCGCCTGTAGTTCTGGCTACTTGGAAGGCTGAGGCGGAAGGATCATTGGAGCCCAGCAGGTTGAGGCTGCGGTGGCCAGGAGCGGCCACTGCACTCCAGTCTGGGTGACAGAGTGAGACTCCAACTAAAAAAAAAAAAAAAAGTGTAGGCCTATAATTAGGCTATTATAAGCAAGCATAGACATAGGGCTTCCAGTTGAATTATCCTTTCTGGTAAATCTTAACTGGGGACAGTTTAGCAGCGGTTGCCACCTGTGTGGCAGTAACTTGTCTTTTTGTCTGCTTGCTCCAAAAGAAGCAAAGCTGCTAGGAAGGTCAGGTTCTAAAATACACAGGTTAGTGTTTGGAGGGTTTCAGGAAGTATAGAAAGGCATCACATAAACACTACATGTCTAATCATCTCAGTGTCAGCAGTTACCGCTTCAGGAATTGGTCCACAGGGTAAATTCCAATGCTTTTCATTGTCATGTCTGAGGCCCTTTCGCCTAAAAGACAGGAAACCTGGTGGAACAGGAAGGAGTTACACCTGTGGGTATAGGTTTAGGATCTGTTGGCAAATGTCACTCCTGGGAAGCAGGTTCAGCTTTGTTTTGCACTTGTTACTTTGTAGCTTTAATGACTTGTATCTACCAGGGCTGAGGTCTCTAAGCTTGGTGCTTGGAGCTGCTTCACATTTTAAACTAGTTCCATTCCACAGTTCTAGTTCAAACCCATTTTTACAGCCTCCTGGTTGGGTCAGCTTGACCTAAACTCCTGAGTTGTTATATCTTGAGATGTTTTCAAACCAGAATGTACCAAAAAGTGCACAAAGTGAAGGTCATTTACAGCAAGAAACAAATGCATAGCTTATTTCCTTTCTTGACTTTATGTAAGCAGATAAGCAGAATCTTGTTTAACTCATTGCTTTGGTTGAGATGTCATAAAAATTTTTTAAATTACGGGATGTTATTCCTCTGGAGGAGTCTTCTAGGGGTGGAGGAATGGGGACAGCAATATTGGCTCCAATTCAAACTGGCGTCACCAGAAACCCTGTGTGCCAGGGTCAAATTAAGTCAGCTACTTTTTATAGTTGAATACAATTTTTTATTCACCATTGTCTGCACAAATCCTTGAAAATAAACTTTCCCTACGATCTTTGTCCATTTGATTTGTCACATACTGAATTGATTGAACTTTGTTTAATACTGAACCCACAGCATACATATATATATAGTGTTTACATATATATGTGGACAAGATAGTCATATATATGAATGAAGAAATCTTCAGGTATATTAAATCAGGTAGATGGCACCCCTCAAAACATTTTACTGACCACTACTATTAAAACACAAGTATCAGCTGCTATTACCAGTCATAAAGCTCTTCATTCAAATGAGGTTAAACAGTCAGGCACCTAAAATCTTTGAGCCAATGGGATTCTGGCATGTACAATGGGTACTTTTCCCCTTGTTTATTCCAAGTGCCTGGTGGGCTGGCACAAGTACAAATTACAACTTCAGAAATTATCTTCTACTAATCTCCAAAATTTTTCTGATTTTATCCTCTTCTCCCCACACACATCTATTTCACTGAAGAAGAAAGAAGGAGCTGAGACATTGAAATTGTGCATAGTAATGTGAGAAGCTAATTCTATCTATATGACCACGGTTATTTTTCACTCTACTCATTTTGGAGCATGAAAGATATGTCTCAATGAACATGAGCATAAATGAAGGTTCAGCAGTACAGCTGCCCCAGCATCACGTTCTGGGCAGCCCAAGGGTATGCCGTCCTTACCTTTACCCACGCCACAGACATCCTGACTGCCAATCCTTGAACTTAAATACTGTATCCCTCACCTTCCCCTTTGGTAAAATGTTTGCCTTCTCCCCTAGGAGACAGACCTAACCACTGGGGAAGCCACTGCTAACCTTGGTAATGACCAGGAATTGCTGTCTTCGTGGACAATAAGTCAATCACCTATAAATACCTGAAGTTGAATTATCTCTATCCAGAAACTGTGTATTTAAAAATTTAAGAGCCGGATGTGGTGGGTCAAGCTTGTAATTCCAGCACTTCAGGAGGTGGAGGTGAGAGGATTGCCTGAGCTCATGGGGTTCGATGCCAACCTGAGCAACATGGTGAGACCTCATCTTTACAATAAATCAAAAAATCAAAGTCAAAAAATTAGCTGGGCGCGGTGGCTCTTGCTTGTGGGTCCAGCTATAGTGGAAGGGTCACCTGAGCCCAGCAGGTTGAGGCTGCGGTGGCTGTGAGTGTGCCACTACACTTCAGCCTGGGCAACAGAGTGAGACTCCAACTCAAAAAAAAAAAATTAAGATAAAAATAAAGTCAAGATCAAAGAAAATAACTATAACTATGAATATAAATATATAGCTATATAAAGATCAAAAGGCAACCACGCTTCTGTGTGGTGGAAATTGAGTCCGCCCGTCCCAGGACCTGGGTTCCCCTCCGCGCCGCGCGGGGGCAGCGCGCGCACTCCGGAAGCAGGTGCGAGAGTCGCCCGCCTGCGCTCTGTGGTTCTTCCCAGAATCCTCGGAGGCGCGGGAGACAGGGTGGGGGGGACGGAAGACTTAAAAGAGGGCGCGGACTTCCGGCGCTTAGCGGGAGGGAGAGCGGCCGGGTGCGAGGCGGTGTGTGAGGTGCCGCGTGGCGCGTGAGGGCCGAGTGTGGTGTGCGCGAGTGTGAGTGCGCGCGTGGGGCGTGCGAGGTGAGTGCGTGCGTCCGCCCCGCGCCCCTCCCCCCGCCTACACCTTGATCTTATTTGATCGGGTCGTGACCCCAGCCCCGCCGGGCCGACCTGGCGTGAAAAGCTGCCCTCCTGCGAAGCCCCTTCCCCGGGGCGCTGTGCAGCGAGGCCTCTCGGGCGGCGGCATCGCCGGGGTCCCCGGGGTCCCGAGGCTGGTCCCCCGGGGCCGGCGCTCGGAAGTGATGAGTTGATCAGATAGACGAGGCCGGGCTCGTCCCGGGCCGCTGATTATCGAGGCGATTCTGATCTGAGCCTGGCCTTGGGGCCGCCGGGGGGCGACCCGCCGCGCGAGTCAACCGCGGGTGGGAAGCAGCGGGCGACCGAGGGGGAGAACGGGCCGTCATTCCTCCTGGAGCTGGAGGACGGAGGCCGTTCGCAGCTGCCTCCCTTTCTCTTCCCTCCCTCCCTCTTTTGCTTTAGGCATGGCTTGTCTGGGTGATCCTTGCACCGACACTGGTGCCCCCAGGGCTCCGTAGCGTCTGCCACCACGGGGTGTAGAGACCAGAGGTGCGTGTCCGTATGTGTGTGTGTGGGTGGCTGTATACGAGGACCCAAAAACCCGCAACTTACCTATAAAAAATTGTGAATTTTTTTTTTTTTTTTTTGGAGTTGGAGTCTCACTCTGTCGCCCAGTCTGGAGTGCAGTGGCCGCTCCCGGCCACCGCAGCCTCGACCCGCTGGGCTCCGGCGATCCTTCCGCCTCAGCCTTCCGAGTAGCCGGAATTACAGGCATGCGCTATCACGCCCGGCTGATTTTTTTGATTTATTGTAGAGATGAGGTCTCATCAAGTTGCCCAGGCGGGTCTCGAACCCGCGGACTCCCAAAGTGCTGGGATTACAGGCCGAGCCACCGAGCCTGGCTCAAAAAATTGTGAATTCTTAACATGTTTTAGCTCCAGTCACCTTCCAAGGACTCTCCGTGTGATGCAATACATCTCTCCAGATGCTTTTTCCACTGCTCAAAACAGTTTTTGAACTCACCCATATTGGTGCCTACCTCTTCCACATCGGCAAAACGTTTCCCTTTGAGGTTTTGTTTTGTTTTGTTTTGTTTTGGCGTCAGAGTCTCACTCCGTCACCCAGGCTGGAGTGCAGTGACGAGCTGCTGGGCTCCGGCCATCCTTCCGCCTCAGCCTTCCAAGTAGCTGGAACTACAGGCGCGCGCTACCACGCCTGGCTAGTTTTTTGATTTATTGTAGAGATGAGGTCTCGCCAAGTTGCCCAGGCGAATCTCGAACCCACGGGCTCAGGCAATCCACTCACCTCAGCCTTCCAAAGGTGCGGGATTACAGGTTGAGCCAGGCTCTTGATGTTTTTAATCCGGGGCAACAGAAGTGCAAAGGGCAAGATCCAGTGACTATGGGGGGTGGGGCGTGGGGATCATGTGGATTTTGGTCAAAAACTGCTGAACAACTCAGTGCGGGCAGATGGGCCTGTAAATCACCCATCATGAAATGGGCAAACACATTGAAAGAATCTCAAAAAACACTGGTGTGGTGGCTCACGCCTGTAATCCCAGCACTTTAGGAGGCGAAGGCAAGAGGATTGCCTGAGCTGAGGGGTTTGAGACCAGCCTGAGCAACATGGCGAGTCGTCGTCTCTGCAGTAAATCAAGAAAAATTAGCTGGATGGTGGCACACGCCTGTAGTTCAGTTTGGAAGACTGAGGCGGAAGGATCGCCTGAGCCCAGCAGGTCCAGGCTGTGGTGGTCGTGAATGTGCCACTGCACTCCAACCTGGGTGGCAGAGTGAGACTCGGTCAAAAAAAAAAAAGAAAAATTCACTGAAGCTGAATGCAGCCTCTCACAACAACACTAGTTGGTACACTGATGCTGATGGGTTCCTAGAACACTAACCCACTCTCCTAAAAATAATTTGGGGTCTTTTGGGTCCCCACTCATACGTGTCCATTACGAGAACATGAAGAGCTTGTAGAAATGCCAATTTTGGGCCGGGCTCGGTGGCTCAGTCTGTAATCCCGCATCTTTGGGAGGCTGAGGTGAGTGGATTGCCTGAGCCCGCAGGTTCAAGACCCGCCTGGGCAGGCGAGACCTCATCTCTACAATAAGTAAAAAACTAGCTGGGTGTGGTAGCGCACACCGTAGTTCCAGCTACTTGGAAGGCTGAGGCGGAAGGATCGCCGGAGCCCAGCAGGTTGAGGCTGCGGTGGCCGGGAGCGGCCACTGCCCTCCAGTCTGGGTGACAGTGAGGCTCAAACTCAAAAAAAAAAAAAGAAAAAGAAAGAAATGCCGATTCTAGGGGCCTACGTGGGATTTTTTGAATTAGAACAAGTAGGAAGGTCTAGGTATTGATTGATTGATTGATTGATTTTGAGTTGGAGTCTCACTCTGTCGCCCAGGCTGGAGTGCAATGGCACGCTCATGGCCACCACAGCCTCAACCCGCTGGGCTCAGGTGATCCTTCTGCCTCAATCTCCCAGGTAGCCGGAACTACTGGCGTGTGCCACCACTCCCAGCTAATTTTTTGATTTATTGGAGAGGTGAGGTCTCGCCAAGTTACCAGGGCTGGTCTCGAACCCCTGGCTCAAGCAATCCTTTGACTTTCACCTCCCAAAGTGCTGGGATTATAGGTGGAATCGATATTTTTTAAAGCAGATGTATTTTTTGGTGTTCCATGTCTCAACCTGCATGAGGTGATTATCCAGGGAGTCACCCCTCTGTGCCCCTTCATCTGCTCTGAATAATGAGAACTGAAACTTTAGGCAGATTCTATCTGAATAGGTTGGAGGGTCCCAGGGAAAAGGGACTGTGACAGTTTGGTTTAAGGACCCTGCGTCTGAGTACCTGAAAGAAGCCCTTTCATATATGAATTACTCAATAATGTATATGTTGTGAAGCTTAATTAGAAATGGAAATTTAGTGTGCAGTCTTCTAAAAGGTCGACCATTCTTGTCCAGTCTTTTTAAATGACATAGCAGGTCCCTGTAGGTGACGTGTAATTTTTTTTTTCTTGAGTCAGGGTCTCTATCAGCCAGGCTGGAGTGCAGTGGCATGCTCACAGCTCAACACAGCTTCAACCTCCTGGGCTCAGATGATCCTTTCATTTCAGCCTCCCAGGTAGCTGACTACAGGCACATGCCACCACGCCTGGTTTATTTATTTTTATTTTTTTGTAGAGACGAGGTTTTGCTATGTTGCGCAGGCTAGTCTTGAACTCCTGGGCTCAAGTAGTTCCCGTCTTGGCCTCCAGTGCTGGGATTACAGATGTGAGCCGCTGCATCTGGCTGACTTGTAAGTTTATTTTATTTTTTGAGTTGGAGTCTTATTCTGTCACCAAGGCTGGAGTGCAGTGACATAGATCTAGACAGTTACCACATTCTTGACCTGCTGGGCTCAGGTGATCCTTCCGCCTCAGCCGTCTAAGCGGCTGGGACACACCACACGGGCACAAACCACCACACCTGGATAATTTTTTGATTTGTTGTAAAGATGACCAGACCAGGCTGGTCTCAAACTCCTGAACTCAGGCAATCCTCTCACCTTGGCTTCTCCAATTTCTGAGATTACAGACATGAGCCACCGTGCCCTGTGTGACTTATAATTTTAGAAACCACATTAATGCCTCAATTTTTAGGTTTCATTAAATCCACTCACAAGATACCGGAACCATATTTCTAAGAATCAGGGCTTTCTATATCAGCACAGAGTGACACAAAAAGAGCTGACTCCCAGGCAGGGAGACTGTCGTGGAGGTGGAGATGAATGACAGTCAGGAGTCGGGCCTCAAGGGCCAGGAAGCCCTGCCGATGACTAGCCACAGAGGTCTCAAGTGTGACCTTAGCATACACAGTGATGTCCCTTACAGCTGTTCAAATGACAGTGTCAGCCTCCCGAGAATGGGCTGGGTCCCTTCTTACTTCCTCAACCCTTGGCTCAGTACCTGGGTATGTCACAGTTTTCAAGGAACAAGCGGGTGGCTCTGTGTGGGTCCAGTGACTTCAGTAAGTACCCGTGTCCTTTCCTGCCCCGAACGGCTGCTCTGTCCTAAATCTGTCTTCTTGGCGAGATGACTTTCCAACGTGCAAATCTACCCAACAGGACTAGTTTCTAAAACTAGAGGTGAGATTTCTCTCATCTAGTTGAAGAGTAGTCACATGGTAACTAGTAGCCCATAGGGAACAGGCACTCAAGCTTCATCACACACAAATCTGTTTAATGGAGGTGGCGGCAGGTGGGTCTACACTCATTAGTCCAGGGGCCTGTCATCACTAGGTGGAGAAGAAGCCGCCGTCGTTCTTTCGGGAGTAGCCTCTGTTGGTGGCTGCGGTGTGAGGGGACACTGGAGGAAGAAGAGGGAGTGGACTGTGAGTTTCAGATCCTTTGCCTTTTCCTGGGCCCCTTCGTCACCCGCACACTCGGTACAACGCAGAAGGCTCTTGCAACGGTGGGGAAACCGGCATGTGGACCGGCAGGAGGCCATTCTTGGTCTGCACTTCCAGGTCTCTGCCCGGTGCCTGCCCCAAACCTAAGGCTAAGAGGCTCTGAAAAATGCATGTTCTGGTTCTGCAGTCAGCGTGTCCCCTGGTATTAATCTGCCGTGTGCCAGCTTAGCCACTGTTTTCCAAGACTCAGAAGTCCCTGAATTTCCAACTAGCCAGCCACCTCCGATCCCTGATTCCAGGGTCCACTTAGAACCCTGCACCACCTCATCTGCCCCCCAGTTTCCAGCCCTTACCTATGGATCCCTGGGTGCTGTGGACGGACTCCTTTTTGGGGTTGATCCACTGTATGATGTTAGCCCCAGAAATGGAGGGTGGAAGGGAAGGAGCTGAAGGTTCTTCAGGAAGTTGGATCCTAGTGATTCTAGAAGATGGTGTGGGAAAGACGGGAGAGTGAGGTCAAGTGAGAGAAGGGCAAGGTGGCTGCGTGTGACCTCAGAGGTCAAGCGGGGGAAGGTCCTTCTACCCTCAGTCAACACAAAGTCTGTGTGTTTGTATAGATGAGCACAATTTTGGGGGGGGGTTCGGTTCGTTTTGGACAGTAAAAACACAGAGATCACATTATAGATGCAAAATTAAGAATACAGATATTTCACCTAACCCCAGTAAGAATGGTCATCATTAATAAAACAGACAACAGATGCTGGCGAGGATGCGGAGAAAAAGGAACGCTTCTACACTGCTGGTGGGAATGCAAAGTAGTGCAACCTCTCTGGAAGACAGTGTGGCGATTTCTGAAAGAACTAGAAATGGACCTTCCATATAACCCAGCAATTCCCCTATTGGGAATATACCTGGAGGAACTCATATCATTCTACAAAAAAGATACCTGCACACGTATGTTTGTTGCAGCTCTATTCACAATAAGAAACATGGAACCAACCATGTTGCCTATCGAAGCTGGACTGGATAAAAAAAATGTGGTACATACACACAATGGAATATTATGCAGCCATAAAGAAAGACAAACATGGATTTCATGGCAACTTGGATGGTTTTGGAGTCGATCCTACTCAGTGATCTATCACAGAAACAAAGAACAGAGCACCATATGTTCTCACTCATAAGCGGACCTTGAGCAATTATAATCCTATAAGAAAGGGATTGGCAGTAGTGGGAAACTCAGAGGAGCGGGGTGGAATTGGCAGTTGAGGGAAACTGCTAGGAGAGGGAGGGGCACACCTCATCAACAAGGCTACCTGTATAATCAACGTTTGTACACCTAACCCTGAATTGTACCCCACATCTTTATGAGAAAAAAAAAGCACAACGGAAAAAAAACCAAAAACATTTTTACCGAGTACCTGCTGGCTGTTATTTCCCAGGTGATATGTCACCTTCCATAGCTAGGTGGCAGCATTGTTGGGTGGGAGGCCCTGACCACTTACCTCGGGGCGTTCTGGGCAGTCTCTTGGTGCAGCAGTACCTCACTTTTGCTCTTGAATGCCCCAGTGTGGTGGTCGTACAAGGTGGCCAAGCGGAAGTCCAGGTCATCCTTCGGGATCTACAGAAGCCAGTTCCTCCAGGTTAGCTCACGGCCTCACACAGGCAGGTCAGTTGGGCTCTGGTTCCCTGGGAGCACAGTGAAGCCCTGATGGCCCAAGACCCACCAGCTCTCTCTCTCCAGTGAGGCGCGGGATGACTTCACTCTTGCTGGTGGGGAACTGTCTTCCCTACAGGTAGGTCTAGGGAGTGGTGAGCTCTCACTGGAGACATGGGCATACTGTCCCTGACTTGGGCGTCATGAACTTGACCTCATTCTTATTTTTAATCAACCCTGGTTTTCATCAAAAGGTGATGGCTGGTAAAATGATTTGCTCCAGACAACTGCCTGGGCCAAACCCAAGATTCTAACTTCCCACAGAAGACACATCAGGCTTTGCCTTTGGATTTGGTAGGGTCTAAGGTTGGAGACAGAGAAAAGATTCTGAAGCCATCAAGGACAGTCTGATTCCCAAAAAGAGTAAAAGTGGCCCTTAGTGGATGTGAACAGAAATTCCAAAGATTGGTACCTTGGGATCAAAAAAGTAGGCGTCCTGCCTCAGGGAAGTGGCTGTGGGGGTGGAGCTGAGCCGGCTCCAGGGCTGCTGCAGCTGAGCGAGGTGGGTCGGGGTCTTGACCGGCAATTTCTGCAACAGAGAAGCCACGTGCAGGGGACCTGGTTCTGGGGGCCCTGCGGATATGGCATCAGTGACAACCCTTTGCACGTCCTGTTTTGTTTGACTCCCAGAGGGACATCTGCAGAGAAGGAGGAGAAGGGCAAGGCTTCACAGGCTTCTGATTCTCCTGTTTTCTTAGAATGGACAGGAGTGGGCTGGAAGTAAAGGGAGGAGGGCGAGGGGCGGGAGCGGGTGAGAGGGGCGAGGACTGAGTTTTATTTTATTTTATTTTATTTTGAGTTGGAGTCTCACTCTGTCGTCCAGACTGGAGTGCAGTGGCCGCTCCCAGCCACCGCAGCCTCGACCCGC